AATCGCCGAAAAATTTCGACCGAAAATCTTCGACACCGGACCGCCGTCGGACCTCCTTCCCAACTATTAGGTACATTTCTTCTATTAGGGCTTCGATTTTCTCAATTCTTCAATAGCTTTTGAATTAGGGCTTAGGGTTTCGATAACAAGATTTGATAAATTAGGTGTAGATGTAGAGAATGCTTGTTTTGTACATCTAAATTGCCTCCGTTGTGTTGTTGTGAGCTTTGTTCGGTTGAAGGTTTTGTGGAATTTGAGACATGTGTGATTGTGGAATTTTATCGAACACATTGTATGCGGATTTCTTTTAAGCTTAGATGAGTTTCATGTGAATTTTATGCCATAATGTGTTTAGCCTGCTGTAGATGATGTATACTTATAGCTTTGTACTCGGTTTATTTGGCCTTAGCATGCGATTTGTTAATTGAGAAAAGAAAAGAGACTAGAGGCATGTATATGCGATTGTTTTGATCATGAGATTGCTTAAGTTGCTGCAGCTAAATGTTACGTTTTTGTATGTTGAAATTGAGATATTTTTAGACTATTAATCCAGTTCATAGTACCTTGTTTATGTGTGTTATGATGCTAGACAAAAGAAGAAGAAAAGAAAGCAAGATATGTTGTGATTGTATGCTTTGTTGATGGCCTTCCAGTTTTGTATGCTTAGTCGGGCTAAAGAATTAAGGATTTGTTGTTTGCTCTCTTTTTGTTTCTGAATTTTATCGAACACCTTGTTAATTTGTTTGTTTTTTGTGGTTAATAATTTGCTCTCTATTGACTTGTTTTATTTTTTTAAATGTAGAAAATGGCATCTTCGTCGTCCTCACAGGCTCGCCAGTACAATGTACAACCCGATCCGATTGACGGGTCGCTTCTGTATCTTCATAGCCGCCACCGGGCCAAGGCGGTATATGACGATGACCAAGGCTATCGTAACGGCATCATTACAAACCGCCGAAACGACAGTGAGCTCTGGCCCGCATTGGAGAAGCAGCACGATAAAGTTTGGGAGCAAATCGACCTGGCAGGTTTTGGCCCGTTGTTTCGGATGGGCCGGGTAACAACGGACAACAGCCTCATCACCTGCCTCGTGGAAAGGTGGCGTCCCGAGACGCATACCTTCCACTTTGATTGTGGGGAGGCCACAATAACGCTGCAGGACGTTCAAGTCCTATTTGGCCTCCCGGCCAATGGAGAAGCTTGTTGGGGAAGGACTGCGGATACAACTCCCCAACAATGGCGAGACATGTGTGTGGACTTGCTAGGGTTTCGCCCCAATGTCTAGGTATATATTCTATCTCAAATAGTATTTACATTTACAATTTCATATATTTTACTCGAATTCAATAAAAAATACAAATTTTATAGCATAGTGATTATATTTTATATTTATAGTGACACTCATTTCTCGTTTATTAAAATTTCAAATATTTTAATTTATGCATAAATGTATTATTTTCTATTTTAATTTTTTATCTCTAATTTGCTCGTTTTTTTATTTTTTATTTTAAAAATCAATTACAGGATAGAGATGACCC